TGAGACCCGGTGATTTAACTGCAGCAAAATAGAAGTAAATAAACACTCGGACCAGTTCATATGAAAAGCTTTCAGGCTCAATTCACACTGGGGAAGGCTATTAAATATTTGGCATTAGTTTATCGCGTGTTTATTCCACTGTAAAAAAAGAACCCATGAAGTGAGAGTCAGTTAATTAAATTCTGTTTGCAGCTGCACATTAATTCACAAGAGTAGATACAGATACATGGCAATATTTCTTACTGCAAAACCTGATTGGAGCTGAGAGGGAGTAGATGCTATATAGGTTAAGATAAGATAGAACTTAACTCATCCCAAAGGAAAGTTTTGTGTCAAAGATGCTCAATATATATACAGTAAAATGAAAGCAACACAGGTACAATATAGTGCAGTGAATACCCTCCACAAAGTACGGCTTCAGTTTAAATTTATAACAGAGATGAATCAAGTCTTTTATGATACCGTCCCCAGGAAAACTCATTTAAAGGACTTACCAACAAAGAACCTATTGCAGTGCTGTTGCATTTCAGGACGCGCATGTGGAGGTGTTGTTTTTATTGTGTTCGACTCTGCTATGCACAGTTTTCTTTGAAGAAGCAGTTTCCAACAAGGGTCACAAATTCAGTCTGATGGGTCACAAGGATATGAAAGAGGAAAGGAAAGCATTTTTATACTATACACAAAATTATGGTTATTATTCAGACTCTTCTCTGATCTTTGATACTCTGATCTTAAGTTTCAAGGGTCAGGTTCTGTATTTTCATGTGCACAATAATTACAGAGAAGCAGTTGTTCGCCATTGGCAGTTGTGGAGCTTTGTGCTCCTCCAACATGTACAGCAACATCTACCTCAGGCTCACTCAAAGATCAACAGGCTCCCTGTAAGTTATTGTTGCTTGTAGTATATCCAGACATGTTTCGTTGCAAGCAAAACCTACCAGCACCTCTATAACAAATTAACATGTGATATCTTGTTTGTTTAATCCAAATAAAAATGATTTTACAGTTGGGTTATGTGCAGGACTATATCTTTGCTGGGTGCAGTTAACTCATGAAGAGAGGCGGCTACTGGTGGCAGAAATGTGGGTTTGAGTCCCCTAACTTGGACTTGGGTTACATGACTTGGATTCGAGTCAGACTCAAGTCACAAATTTGATTACCATTAACTCGACCTGACAAAATTAAAAAAGACTTGCAGCTCAACTTGAATTTTGACACCACTGACTTCACTTGGACTTGAGCCTTTTAACTTGAAAATACTTGATACTTTCCCCCAAGCCCAAAGATTAAAAAGTATGGTATTTAAGATATATGCGCAATGGATCAATTAATTTACCTTTATTTCTTGAATAAACTAACATTAACATTATTCATTCTGAACAAGTCAACACTTAATTCCCAAGATCCACTTTGCTCGAACCAATCCGACAGCATCTTCTCCTTACTCATTAGCTCAAGGTCCACAGGTTAACACACTCGATGTCATACTTGTGTTTGGCCATGTTGTTTAGCTAGTTTGCTGTCTCTGTTAAGTAGCTGTCTGTAAGTCACTCTACAGCAGAAAATGGCATTTCAAAATAAAAGCTCTGTGCCAGAGATTCACTGCACTTCAAAATAAAATGTGTTTTCTACTAACTTCACATGTTTGGAGTCACTTGTGGTCCATTCAGAATGGACCCGTGACCCACTTTGGACATCCACTCACCAGTTGGGAACCACTGGTTTAGCGCTTGAAACTCAAAGTTATGGACTTGGGACTTGAGTGCAAAGACTTGAGACTTACTTTGTGACTTGCAGAACAATGACTTGGTCCCTCCTCGAGCTGGTGGTAACTTCATATGTACTATAACAACAAGGATGTGGTACTGGTCTTCTCATTGAACTCTTGACAAGAATACAAATGAGTATCTTGATGGGTATCAACATGTGAAACTTCCTTTAATCTGGACTCAACACAGCAACTTGACCCAAGAGATTCAAACTGGTGAGATTCGAGACTCTAGTTTCTGCTGCCATCCAATCTGCAGCTTGGATAAGAATAAAAGTGATGGGATCTGAGGACCTAAAATCCTTTCAAACACAAATTAACTTTCAGTTTGTTTCTCACCAGTGATATTACAGATATATGGACGGGCCAAACACATCTCATTGTGTTCTTGTACTGTTGGTGATCCGGGAGTTTAAGCTTATTTTACTGTTGACTTACTGTTAATTCCTCTGGATGAGTATCAGCTAAAACTCCTACAAATGCAAATATATAAAGAGGATTTTCAGCCAACATCAATACTAGTAATTAGAGTCTCAAATTAAACTCTTCAGATGTAAAATTAACTTGGCCACCCGCAGGCTCTGCTAGAAAACGATAGAAAGCAACAACTGCCAACAATTACAATGAGCGAATGTTATAAATAGGGCATATCCATTCCAGAAAATATTACGGAGGGAATGTGGATGTGAGGCCAAGCTGGTTGAGGAGCACACGAGTCATTGTGAATTTTCCATTTACGAGAGACAGAAGCGGAATAAACAAACCGCCTCAGCCAGAGCGGCTGCAGCTCTCTCTCTGGATATCTCACACGCTCCATGCAAACACTGCCAAACCACGTAATGTCATTAGACATTAATGAGGCAGACAGTTCATCCTCAGTTTATTAGACTCAACCAAGTATCCAGTTATGAAATGTCTTCCAGATATATATATATATTCAACTCTTCCACTAATGTTTTACTTTTGGGACTTGTTGTGTTTCAGAATGCTGAATGATTTTATTTTAATTACAGTGTGCAGCACTCTCCCTTCTGGCCAGTAAAGGTTATTACAGGTGCTGCAAACAACTTTGCTGATCCTGCAGGGATGCTGAACACATCTCTTCTCTTCCCCTTGTCCTTGTATTATTGCTCAAGGGCACACCAACAAGGTGCTTGTGTACAGAGCTGCAAAGTAACTAAGTACTTTACTTTTACAGTACAGTTTAGACATAGTTATCTGACACCGATCAGCCATAACAATAAAACCACTAACAGGTGAAGTGAATAACATCGATTATTTTATTACAATGCAATGTTCTGCAGGGACACCTTTGGTCCTGGCATTCATGTGGATGCCTCTTCACACACTCCACCCAAACATTGTTATAGACAAAGTACCCCCACTTATTGCAGCAGTACCCCTCTTACCTGTCAAGGCATGGAGACAGGACCTCTGGGGGCGTCCTGTGTTGTCTGGCACCAAGGCGTTGTCGACGAATCCTTTGAGTCCTGTGGGTTGCGAGGTAAGGTACCGGCATGCTCAATGGATGTTCAATCAGAATGGGATCTGAGCAATTTGGAGGTCGGATTGACACCTTGAGGTCCTAGTCACATACCCCAGGCCATTCCTGAGCAGTTTTTGTGGTGTGACTGCCATCAGGGAGTGCTCTTAAATTTGGAGATTTAAGACTTTAACAACAACTTTTGTATGTTGTTGCTATTACGCCTTGTTTCCCTGTTTTGGTTTGTTTTGTTGTTGATTGCTAAATATGATGAGTGTTATAATCTGTAGCTTCAGCCTACAGCTTTTTCGGAATACAGAGGTGCCTGTTAAATGACTTTATTGTAATGTTTTGTACTGTGCTATTTAAGTTTTCTCTGTGAGAGGTTGTGCATTTATTTACATGAATTTGTAGATTAATACATGGTGCTCTTATTTCCATTTGCAGACTGAAATAAAGCTCAAAATCTTAAAAATTATAACCCATTATGACATAGTAACATGCTATGAAAGGGGGAACTCTGCATCATGAATGTTTTTGATGTTATTTGTATATTTGGCTCTGATCTTTAACTTTGAATGCTCCTAATATTTACTTCTAACAGAATTTTTATATTGTGATATTGCTGCTTCTACTAACAGCTGTAGTTGATTAAAGATATGTGAAGACTAGATTTACCGCTTCACTTAGAGTTCACATTCCTGTCTGATCTATTTGATCAGCACAGTTTTAAGGCGGGCAACCAAGATTAGAGTCAACTTTTAGATGTCAGATTTAATCACTTCATTATTACATCCCTTTAAATATTTGTGTGAAATTTCATAATTAGCATATGAATTCTTGGGTGATGGCCAAAAACATGTTTTGTGAGGTCACAGTGACCTTTGACCACCAAATTCTAACCAGTTCATTCTTGAGTCCAAGTGGACATTTGTGCTAAATTTGAAGAGATTCCCTGAAAGCATTCTTAAGATGTCACGTTCAGGAGAATGGGACCGATGGACCATCAACCTGAAAACATGATGCCTCTGGCCATGGCTGTCGCCTGCAGTCAATCACTGCTAATGAACTGTGGTCAAACTGTCAAACTATTTTAGTGTACTCTTTAGCTGTAAAATAAAACGTTTGTGATCTGGCTGCCATGTTGGAAACACTGTGACGTCACCCATTGGTTTGAGGACTGCCGTTTTTGAGATGGAAACAGTCGGGGCAAAATGTGGCACTGCTCACCGGACGGATCAGCGTTCTCATTCTACAGCTAAACAGTACATTAAAATATGTTTCTGAGAACATTTGAGGTAAGGAATAGGCAAAACAGTAATAAAGTTTTGATTCATATTTGGTTAGCGCTGACTAGCTTGACAGCAGTTCACGAGCAGTGATTGACAGAGTCCTCGGCTCTGATTGGTTGTTGTCAGCAAGTGGCAGTAAATTCCATTAGAGGCTGTAGGAGGGCAGAAGGGACATGATTTTGTTTTTCCCCACAGATGATGCTTCTCATGTGCTTCCTTTCGAATATAGTGACAAACTAGTTTAAGTATGACAAAAGTTATTTTCATAAAAGTTACCAACTGTTACTTTAATGAAATAAAGGCTCTGGATACTTCTTCCAACGCCAATGTGTAAACTTGAATGTGGAGATCATATTGAAGGATACTGAATTGCACAAAATCACTAATATTAATTTAAGTTGTTGCATGGTCAAACAAAAGACGCATCTTTCTGAAATCATGAGACATGGACACAGCATTGCTATAAAGTAAAACTTTAATTTGGTATATAGTTTCTGATGTAGTTTCATTTCTGGTTGTTAGTTTTACGGTTCATTACAGGAATGGAATGCTGAAATCTAAAGATTAATCAACAAGAGAGTGCACACTTGTTATCTTTCAGATTCTGATTTATACATTATCATAAATTTCTAATACGTACGTTTTTTCTTTTTCTATATATATTTATATCTATATTCCCATTTATGTGTATATAAAATAAAAAACCTCTTAATTATTGCAAAATTTAAATTTGCAAACCGCAAATAATTGACTGACACACACAAATTCATACACATGAAGATAAAGAAAACAAAACAATGAACAAAAGGGAAATAAAATTCACTCTTTTATCGAGTCATAGCATGGCATTCACAAGGATTTAAACCCCAGCTTCTCTTCTTTATGACTAAAACCCCCCAGACACACTCCTGTTTATAAGGCCCATCATGAAGTACAGTTCTTTTCCCCATGATGCGTCACCTGATGACCATGCACGATGTGTACACTACATTAAAGCCACTTATTGCTCTCTTTAACATCACCATTATGAGATAAAGGTACAGCTTCGTTAAAGTGCTCGTGTGGTGTGAAACGGTGGAGAACGATGAGGTAACCGAGGGAGGAAAACAGTCTCTGGGTGGTGGAGTAACAACACCGCAGGGGTCATTATGTTGATGACGTGCGTTTGTGAGTCACACTGTAATTACTGCCTGTGTAATTGGAGAGAATCAACTGTTCATCCGTAACATAACGGTAGTCTGTCACTGCTGGGCTGGTCAAATCTTTCAGTACTTAAAGTGGAAACAGACACGTGTTTTTGCTTTAACTTATCATTACGACGTTAATGTTGATTGCACAATGTAATGGCCACAGAGTAATGACATCATCAGAGTTTAGATTGGTTCCCTATAAGTCTCGCTTTCACTATGCAAGTCTCTCTGCTACTGGGTAAGATCTACCAGGAAAAGGCTCAATTTACGGCACAAAGGAAGTGTGCCAACTACTGCACAACCAAAACAGGCAGAGGATAACACTTTAGTTTCCCTGGTAGCTATCAGCGGCTATCCCTAGTTACCAAAGCATTTCAAAGTAAGTTCTTTGCAGTTACTCACCCCAGTAGCGGATATGGCAGATGGGGGAAACTTGAAGTAACTGTGGGAAAGAGAATGCATGTGTACTGCGTTGTTGGTTGTCTTTGCAACAGCAGCACAAATACCACTTGGAGACGCTAGGGGAGAAAAAATCGTCCGTTTCCACTTTAAAAAGGAACAAACTTGTGTTTTTGTATATTTTAGCCCATGTAGTACAACTCTTATAGTTTCCAAATTAGTCCTAACAGTTGTTCAAATCATACTGAAGTAGTGTCGAGGATTTTGTGATCTGTGTTTTCCTAATTTTATGGCAACCATTTATTTCCTTTCATTTTATTGTTTCACTTTTAAGGCATAGGTTCCATTTTTTTTTCCAGTTTTTGGTTGCTGCAATAGTTTCTCCTGCTCATACTGGCCTTTAAAAGATCCTCTCTAAAGGCAATTTCAATGTAAGTGACAGGAGACAAAATCCAGACTCAAACACAAAAAATGCCTTCCAATTTAACACAGAAGATAATATGAGCCCTAAGCAGTCTGAGTTTAACAAACAGAAAAATACTACAAAAAAGAGCAGAAGATATCTACTTGTTTGTCAAACTCTGACTGCTGAAGTCTCGTATTATCTTTGGTTAGGATGAGGACTGTGGATATTGTCCTTCATCACTTCCATTAAAACAGCTTTAGCATGGAATCTACTGTTTCATGTACATATGAGAGTTTCATAAATCTGGAAAAAAAGAAGTGAACCTTGTTTATCAAATGAATCTGCAATATAATAGAGTATTTACAAAGTCTGTTATGCTCTGGTGAATGGATAGAAACCAGTGGCTGCCTGGATACCACAACTAAAATACAAATCTAAAACATGCAAAACCCCCAGTGTGACTTTAAAGTAAAGAGTCTTGTGGAGCTGATTGTAATTGATGCCTTCACCTTACTTTCCCAGTGGAACAATCCAACTAAAAGGAGAATTTGAGCGGAAAGCTTATAAGCTGTACTGATTAGAGTTTAAAGCGGTAAATTCAGCCTCTTTCTCCTCGAGCCTGAACGCCACAGTTTAAAGTTTGAGTGACAAATGCCTCTGGAGCGCCGTTAAAGATAAACAAGAAAGAGATGGGAAAAAAACCCACAGTGAAGATTAAAAACTTCTGTAAAGCACATGGAGTGATGTAATGCACATGAATCCAGATAAAGCACTTGACAATAAAGCAAGGGACTTCAATATCCCTGTAAAGCCAGAAAAAAAAGTAATCGCACATTAAAGCAGTTACACAATTAAAGCACATAATAAAGCAAACAGATGCAAAGTAAAACTTTAAAGCTAAAGTGAATGCTGGTGAGACAACAGTGTTGTTGTTGTAGTTCAGTCCAACACATTTAACGTAGAGACCTGCCATGATGAATTCAGTACTGTAGAAAAACATCCAGTGTGAACATGTGAACATTGAGAACAGTGAGCATTCACCTGAAGACACGAGCGATTTAAATGTAAAAGTTGAGCATTTGAGCAAAACAAAGGCAAATATGACGTGTGTATGAGACATTATAATATATGAATACAATGACATAGGTTCTTCTATAGGCTGTATGGCTTCAGATTAAGGTTCACTGCACCAAACATTTCCCTTTGAGGTATGAGAATGTTTGCCTGAAAAAAACCCAATTCATTTGGTTTTAAAAGTAAAAGTATGAAAATAGTGTTTATTTTCTTTTGGAGAAATTAAAAGTCTTTGGGATAATGTGAAGTTCTCAGGGATTTGATGTCTCAAGTTATGTTAAAGGTCCAGTGTATAGATTTGGTGGCATCTCACGGTGAGGTTGCAAAACTGAAACTTGACCTGTGTGCCAACGGGCAGGAGACCTCGAGGGGCTTTATCCTCCCTAGAAGTGGACCCGCCCTGTACATAGATATAAACCGCTCAATCTAAGGTAACAAAAACAATTGTAATTCTCATGTGATTATAAACTAATGAAAACACAGTTATAATTATTATGTACAATTTCTACCAACAGACGCCCCTAAACCTTTCACACCGGACCCTTAACCATCTATTTTGACACAAAAAAATAAGCATCTATGCAGAGAGTGATGCATATACGCTCTGAAATACCCCGCTTTGCATTCACACAGTTACATAAATTCACAAGTGGAAGTAAGTTCATACACTGATTACTTGCTGCAACCTTCCTGAAACCTCCGCAGGGCAGTTAAGGGTTACATGAGCAACAACTTGCCATTAAATAGAAGCCAAATCAAAGAGCGTCTGGGAAGATGATATAGAAATATTCCCCAACAGCAGCACGTTAAGTGACCATTCACAGTTTGAGAGAAACAGTCCTCTGGGATTCTTGTAGCTGCAGTTTACACACCATTTTAGAACCTCATAAATTCAACGCTGCATGTAAGTATCACTGTCCCTTAAGCAGCGATAAAAGGAGGATGTGAAGATGGGGGAAAGCGCTGTAAGTCGTTTGGCTTGTCATTTCTGGGTTTTAAACAACCCTTCTCTCTTTGACCCCGTCCTTGTTGACATTTTCAGCAGTCCTCCACTGCGACACTCAGTCACACACGCTGACATTTCCGACAGTAAATTCAATTTGGTCCAGACAGGGAAATGAGAAGCTTTAAGGTTTGACCCTCCCAACTCTCAGCTGTAATTATCCTTTTAGAAATTGGGAAGCAGGGAAATTGTCAGGGGCAAAAGGGACCAAATATGCTTGACAACAGTAGAAGTACGCTCATATTTGCACATTTACGCACCCGGATTTACATGAGTGCATTTGTGCACAGACAAAATATCCTCTTACCCTCGCTACAGCAACCATAGCAAGCCATTTACAGAGAAGAGGAGTTAAAGAAACTCAATAACCTGTCATGTTCTTCTGCTCCTTCCCCTCGGCTGTAATGTGAGCCTTCTGGATGTAAGAGGATCAGGAAGGATTCAGTGGCCACTAACACCTAGAACACAGCCGGAAAACTGGAGCAGTGACTCGCCCAGAGGAGGACTGTGTTTCAGTGTGTGCTTTGGATGGCCTGTATGGAGAAACTGCACTCATCTGTCGTCAAGTGACTTTGGTGAAAGAATACTTGTGGGTTTACAATCTACATGTTGTTGGCTGTGGCACACAAGGTGTTCAAACGGATATGGACCAGCAAATGATCACATTAACAACTTTAACCGACTCAGGTCGTTACACTTAAATGAGCGGCCCCGTAAAAAGACGTGCAATGTATTTTACACACTGTACAACCGTATGCAGTAAAGAAAGATTTATGGTATCGACAAAACTCAAGACTGTGTCGTCATGCCTGCAGTGAACGTTTCAGTGAGATGTGCAAAAACTCCTTTGTGACCAGTTATTTTAATGCCCGTGTTTAAACTAAGCTCTGAATTTGTGGTTTGCCACAACGTGTTGCATGTTTACAAGATTACAAGACTTCAGTTTTAAAGGGTATTCATAAATATAGGATATTTTCATTAATTTACATATCTTACACATCTATACTGCATAGAATTACTTTTTTTTTTTTGCCATGACATGCCTACAGTCTAACATTTCAAGAAGGTTAAGAGGTGCTGATGGATTCCTGTAAAATCAAACCTTCACTTGTCGTGTAATACACTGAACAGTGACGCAGAGCAGGAATGCTTCTTGTAAAGGCCATTAAACTGAAGAATGCAAACAGGCATGTCAAAGGAAGTGAGCATTTGGATCTGATATATTGAAATCAGCTTATGTGGTCCTAAAGTTTAATATACGAGGAGTGTGAAGGTGACTGTTGGATGGGCACTTATTCGTTAAGTCAATATTAAGAAAGACATCTAGTCTAACAACTCCACCCCTACTTGAGTGAGTTTTAAAGGGTGTTCAAAAACTAAGGTATAACATATAACATAAAACATGGAGAATGAAGCATGATCACTGACATCAAAACCTGTCTTGCCCAAACACTCAACGTTTGTACGACCCTGATTCCTAAAACTGTAAATAAAAATAGAATGCAAAGAGTGCAAATCCTTTCTGACATGTATTCAATTGCATACAGTACAAAGACAAGATGTTTGATATTAATTATCTGTACCTTTGTCTATGAGTTACCGTGGTTGTTTGGGGAGGTCCCTTCCTGGTGGAGCAAAACGTGTGGCTGAGAATTCTTAAATCCTGGCGCCAACTCATTGGACCAAACCATGTGCTGCCATGTCATGGGGGGGATTTGGGTTTAGTTAGTTTTTGTAGTTGCCGTCCATTTTGGTTACCCCACTGTAATATGGTCAATTTGTTCAGTTAACACCTTGTTAAGTTATTATATTAAGTATAGTTATGTTATGTTGACCTCTTTTATAGGCCTAGTTGTTCATTTCTTGGTTTGTAATTTTTCCACACATTTTTTGGGGGGGTAAATAAAAACCCACAATTTTGTCAACAACTCCTGCTTGGTCCCTAATAATTTACAAAAAACAATATAATTATTTTATCTTTGTATTGTATTGAATTGAATATGTGTCGAAAATAATTTGCAAATCATTGCATTCTGTTTTTATTAACGTTTTACACAGCATCCTAACTATTTTAGAATCAAGTTTGTTTGTCCAAACCTCTTTATACAGCAGTGAGGGATTTCTGAAGTCCGTATAATTCCCTCCGCTGCTGCAGGACAAGGCCGCAGGTCTGTAAGCACAACTACAAAGAACTGTGGTTCTTTTATGAAGAGAGTAAATACATCCAGCTTCTAACCTACATCCCACGCACACTGGAACAAACTCTGATTGCAAACAGATGTTAGTACCCCTGAAATTAAAAATATATTTTTCAAAAAAGACAAAGATAAAAATGCACCAAGTGAAAAGGTCTGACATAAAATAAGGCCAAAGATATTAAACCACCGCCTCTCTAAATGTTTGAATATCCAGCAATTTCAAGTGACAGAGTGAAAGAGCAGTTTCAGTGAGATACTGAATTAAAACAAGCACTTTAAAACGCAAGTGCTATGTTCGAAAAAGAAAACTGGATTGAAGCAGTTTGCGTTGTTGATGCAATTTAGGACTAGAGAGGCCCAGCATGTCTCAAAGAATGTAGCTTTGAAGACAGGAAGAATGGAAAAAATCATCAACAAACATAAAAACCCAACAGCTACACAGTCATTAAAAAAGAAAAACTGTCTGACACTAAAGTAAAAATGACATTATCTGACACTAAAACAGTCCAAACCTTTGGTAATGCATAGTTCTTTCCTGAATGTCTTAGACTATCAACCATAAACTCCACCATCTGTCAGATAGCAGCGACTGCTGTTCCGATCCCGTCTAAAAAAATAAAGAGCAATGATAATAACCTAATGGCTCTTTTTTTCTTTTCATACAGTCTCCTTTTGCTTTTTGTTTCTGGTTTCGTACAGCATTAGCAGTTTTGGCTTGTTTGGTTTCTGAACCAAAGAGATTACTTAGAGCAGAGCAGTGAAGCAGCCCTCTCTCCTCTGTGGAGGTGGGCATGCAGCCTGACCCGTCCGTATCCAGTCTGCCACATCAAGGCAGAAATGGTTCATCCTCCTCTTCGTCCGCGCTGGGACCGGGGTCACTCAGGCACCTCATAAGCTTCTGCTGGTCTCTGCCTCCGTCTCCCTCGCCTGGCTTGTTAGGTCCACTCTGCCCTGAGGGAGGCTTCATCATCAGGCCTTGGTCCTCATCCTGCTGCTGGCCGGCCCGTCTTAACTCATCCATCATGTTGACAGAGTCTGGAGACTGAGGAGAGGCCAGGTCTACCTGGATGGTCGGCACATTGTCCGACGTCGGCTTTATGCTGTAGGCTTGTGGGTCTACAGGCAGGACAGAGGTACCATATCAGGCAATCAGCTTTAACATAACTTTGAAAAGGGATTGAATATTATTCCATGATGCCATCTGCGTGCATGAACATAAGATATACAAGGGGGAGAGGAATGCAATCAACAAATATTAAGATCAACAAAGGTACCAATGTACAATCACTGCACAAACTTTTGGGATATTTCACAACACAACAAAACTAATGCAAAATAAGACAAGATGATTTATAATGCAACACATGCTGGAAATAATTCAACTTTTATATACAAACTTACAACGAAAAACACAAGCTGAAGTTCCAATATATCATGCTTGACTGTAATCTATAAATAGTGGGGAGGTAACGGTGCAGAAAGTCACGGTTTGGCTCATATCCGCGTTCAGGAGTCACGTTATGTCCCATAACTTCAAACCAGGGGTCGCGTTAACCGGATATTCTTGGTCATTGACCGTTTTTTTACAACAATGACCGGAAAATCTCAAGGCCGTCAGTCATTTTGACCGGTTGCAATTACCACCCCTGGCCACATGGTGGCGGAGTGCACAACCAGTGGCTGCCGTTTTCACACTGCAGAGAAAAAGTCATTCATCTGCTTCATGTAGCGTTGTTGAGCCCTGGACACACTGGACACGTGGTGCCGCGGAAGTCCTGCGAGTGTACTCGCAGGCACTTGACTGTCCACACAGGCAGCGCATTTCTCCTGCGCTCTCCGCGCCGGTTAAACATCGACTCCACTCGTCTGTTCCCATCAGTACTCGTTTTTTCACTTCAGCAGGTCATTTTAAACATGGGTAAGTCCATATTTTAATCGTTTTTTATAGCGTAATAAGTTAATTACAATTTGTCATTGCATATCCATGTATTGAGCGTGTTGGATAAACACTGGCCATATTGTTATTGACCATTTTATTCATGTAGTTATGTCTGTAGGCTCGGTGACACAAAATTAAAATTGTAATGAAGTGATTATGGTATTGAAAAATGTGTTCAGTTATGCACTGTTGTGTTATTTTAAATTATAAACACGGTATTTTACTGCTCGCGTGAAAAATAGACCAGACGCCGAACTGAAACGCTGCCTCCGCGGGCGCTCCGCTCTGCTCAGCAGCCTGTGTGGACAGTCAGATAGGTTAACATGGGCGCCGATTGAAAACTGCCTCCGCTGCTGGGCGCTGCGCTTCGGTTCCGCGTCCGGTGTGTCCAGAATGGCATCTGTGTGTGGATGTCTGTTCATCTTTTCGTTCATGTCCTTATTAATGCACACTTTATAACTTGCTTGTTGGATTTATTAAAAACGAACGAATGAAAACTAAATATCTTTGTACATCTTAAAGGAAAATTAAAATGACCAGTAAAAATAGATTATGACCGGATTTTTATGACCCTGTCGGTCAAAATGACCGGCGACGAAAAAGTCTAGCGCGACGTCTGCTCAAAACAAAGGAATACATCACACATCTATTTCCAGACAGGTGCATAGGAGAGGGACGAGCAGAATAAAACTTGTAGAAAAGACTCACGTCCCACTGTCTACCTTGCAAACATACTGATTTTAATGCGACAACTTTTCGGTAACTAGACCTTCATCAGGCAAAAATGGTGAAAATATTTCTATTACTGTTCACCAAAGTCCAAGACAAAACAATGTTTTGTTTTGTCCGCAACTCAAATATATTCTGTTTACTGTCATAGAGAAGTAAAGAAACCAGCAATTCATTTGGGGATTTATTTAATAGTTGACAACTAATCGATCAATCGGTTAATCGTAGCAGCTCTAATCTACATACCACGTATTCTCTGTGTGGCTGCGTGCACTGAACCGTGACCCCTGACCGTGATCTTCCGTACACACAACGGTTACAGCCCTGGTAAACATCTAAAACAACTCATCTGAGTTTGGCTTCATCAATCACGTCATGAGATCCCCTAATTAGTGATGGATAATTAATGAATGTTAACAAGCAACATAATTGACACATGCATGTTAGGGTCACTGTTAGGTTATCACAACTCAAAATGAATCTTCTCTAAGCCCACCACCTACCTGGACAGTTTTTGTCCCCTTTCTGCTGCTGAGCAGGTTTGAAATCAGTATCTCTGCCTAAAATGAAACCACACACTGGTTTACATGCTGGCTGCCACATGCAAACATATTTCCATCATTGGGGAAATATCTGTTACTGCAGCTGTGAACGGTGCTTTCTGCTGTGTTTGTTTTGTGAAAGCTGCCCATGAGCCTCACAATATATAATGTCTCATCCCGGTGGGTCCCGTCAGTGACATGGTATATTTTCTCCTATTGTTTCACGTGGTACCTGTCAGTATGATGGTGGTAGCTATCGAGTGTTTGTGTTTGGCTGTGGCTAAGATGGATGTGTTTACCTGAGGCCAGTCTGGCTCTGCACATGGTGGGGGAGTCAGGGGGAGCAGGAGGCACCGTCAGGTAGTTATTCATGTCTTTTATCTGGGAAAACAGGCATATTGTTTGCTCATGAGATGATTGCGCCGTCAGCATGTAATCAAAATGTAGCAGTTACACAAAGCAACCTCCGTACAATGTATACAGGAAATACACATTCTGCCTCCTTTAATTGTTTGGGAAGCGCTGCAGCCGAACAACAACAGTTCAGTAATTCACCACTGATCAGTATCTCGGAGAAACTTCATTTAAATAATGTGCTTTGGTAGTCAATGCAGAAATCCTCTTGAGTCTCCAGTTGCTTCTGGCACATTCAATTTACCCCAAAACAAGAGTCTACTTTCATTATGTAATTACAGGCTGATGAAATGAAAGTTTGTGGTAGGGCCACTCAGCCGTGCGAATAAATCAGCCCCTATTTGTGTTGGGAAAATGAATTTAGGCGACTGAAGGTGGAGTCTAATTAGAACACTAATCATAGTTTTTGCTGAATCATTTAACTGATGGTGGCCTGGTGTGAAACGAGAAGAGCTGCTCTTCATCCGTCTACTGTGTTTCTCCTGATTTTTCACCTGATTTTTACTTTGTTATACACCAGATCATATGACGGTCTCTGTTGCACAGTGACATCACAAAATGTCTTCTTTAGCACTGACTAATCAACAGAATGTGTATTGATCAACCCTGCTGTGACCTGGTGTCAATGACATTCAACAAAGCAGACAGCAGGATCTGACTGATTCTTGATTTAAGAGGTGTAGCCCTCGCTGAGGCCGATAATCGTACCTTCTTCTCCAGCTCGATCATCTTTTGTTTCTTTATAAGGAAGTCACCCAAGCCGTCCTCATATGGATCAGCCACCAGAGTGTGTCTGTTGTAGGAGCGCAGCTGAGAGAGAGAAGACACACAAAGCATCTCAGTTTAACTGTGCAATTTAATTATTAAGACAAAATATTAAAGCAAAAAAAAGAGGTTTTTGGCATGTTTTATTTCTGTTTATTTCAAAAGCCCTCTAAGAGTTAAGCCCATATTTATGTTTGGTAAGAATTTCTGTGTTGATATGACATCATATAAGTTCATATCATTATAGTTATGTTTATCTTTACTTTATTTATATGTTGGAATGCAGGCACAAGTTATTTACAACAGGTATGGTGCCATAAGGCAGTTTAGTGCTCATGACAAAAAGAGAGTGTGGACAAATTCATGCATAAAAAGACAACGTGAACTTTGTGTTGGTGATAAGTTGTTGACCGTGTTATGCGGTGTTGAAGTATAATAACAAGTGATATGTGAGAATATATAGAAATAGGACATGGAGTTTGCAGTGGACTGTCAGAGATGTAATTTTGGAAGGACTTGACACGCCATTTTGTTTTCTTTTTTGCACTCTCAATAAACCCCGTTCAGCATTTTCCCTGCCTCAGTTGGGTACTGTGGAGCTCCAGCAAAGGAATAGAAACACAAGTCAAAACTGAGACATCACACAAACTCAGTGGCCTCGGAACTGTGGTATGTTGCAACAGCCACTTCAAGACCTGCAGATGATAAAACAAGGTCTCTACAGCTAAAGACACGTTAGATTTAAGACTTTATAATGCCACTCTGAATGAAATTTAAGGGCAATTTTACAATAACCAAAATTGAAGAAAAAAAAAATCAATTCATGAGATTTAAAGATAAATTTGCTGAAATGTTTGTTGTAACATAAAACTTTTGTCTATGGTGGAGACGAGGGTAGAACAAACTGGGAATACTTGGTATTTGGTGGCAAGTTTGGCAATTTTGTGTTTCTCACTCTGCATGTGGTATTCCACTGCCTTGTTTCCAATCATACCGAGTTTGGCATAAAGTACAGTGTGCCTTATATGCATTATATTTCACACCGTGAAATCTTGGTTAAATCGCAAATTTTCATTGAATTTGCACTTTCCCGTGTCGTCCTGGATACAGTAACAGCTAGCTAACAGACTGTTAGCTATGCTCTGCTCTGGACATCCTGGCCAGGAACAAAATATGAGTGCTGTTGATTCCACCATCCTGAACTGCATGACGTTAATGCAAAAAGCATTCAGCAAATCATTAAGCAAAAAAAAAAAAAAAAAAAAAGACTTTACCAATTATTTTGAGATTTTAGAATTCGACGTCAGATAAAAATGATTTATGAAACCCTACATCCCATGCCTGAGTATTTTTAAGACTTTTAAAAGATTGATTTAAGACACTGATACAAATTAAGACCTTACTTTTAGACTAATGAATTCAATTCCTTGTAAGACTTTTTAAGGATCCACAGGAACCCTGATAAAAGCACATTTGTGGAGGCCATTTTGACCACAAGGGAACAATGCTCTTAGCCTGTGCAAATCAATGAAAATTGCTTTGCTGTGTCCCTAAAAATCAAAGTCAGTATCAGTCAGTGTATGAGGAGCTACTGATTTAATTCTAACTCCAGCAATCAATACACTACAGCCTAATATGCCAGAGGTACCACTGGTGTCAGTGCAAATCAATACAAGTAGTGACATGCTCTGAACTCCCAGTAATACAAGACAATACATCTTTAGCTGACACAAATAAGATATGTCTTATTGTTCATATAGCAGTGTTACCCTCATTCGTGTCCTCTGAAGGTTACTCCTGAGGATTTTCCTGATCTCCTCCTCTCGGCCTTTAGGCAGCTGGGGCAGCGCTCTCTCTGCAGGTTTGGCAGGAGGAGGCTTCTTAGGCTGGATGTTCCTGAAAAAGTGGGGGAAAAATCTATGACTACATGTAATACAGACACATACACACATCATGTGTGCTTTTGTAAAAACACATGACAGTCAACGACGTGATAATAATGAAACCACTGAAATCAGAATTTCCTTAAAAATGTCCTTCTAGTATCGACTGATCAGATGACTGACAGCGAGTGTCGAACAGTGTGAGCTGTCAGTAACAGCTCGTGTAATTGAGCAGCCAGTGTTTTTAGAACAGACACCAGGAAAATAATCTATCAGCTCAACAGTAGCTCTTACTGTAACAGATACTCAGTATCAGCAAAGTAAGTGGCTTGTTATCTGTAAAGTGATGCTATTACTGTTGTATCTGGCACTGCTGAATTAATTTCGCAGACAGGTTTGACCTTGTCCACTCTTGGTTTAAGAGCGGTCGAGTGGGGAAGAAAATATAATTTCTACTAAGATCAAACTGGTGAGCAAAGTAATTGTGACCTCTGAGGATCCCAACCAGTGTATCCAACTGTCTCCAGCTTTTATTTACATAAAACATTTAGCAAAGATGGACTCACACTGGGAATTAACACTGACCAAGGCTTAATTTAACAATTTATCACTGACTACTTCATCCTGCCGATGTGAAATTAATGAGGCTGAGGCTGATGCAGCTGCGTACAGTGGGTGTTTTTAGAGGTTACAGCATACGGGCACCCTGGGTAATGAAAACTACAAACTCCTCGCCACTTGCAACATGACAGATGAGGTGATGATGACAATGCTGTTAATGTAATAGCAGCTACAAAACAGCTCACAACTGTGACCCATCAGTGCTCCTGTAGTGTTGTGCTCTCTTAAAAACAGACTTTCAGTCGATATAACTATAGAAATGAAACAAAATTTAAGGAGTTATCAAAGCAATACACATTAAACATGAAATGACAGACTGCAGAGTGCAGTGTAGGTCATGTAAAACAACGTGTGAAAATAGAACTGTTACTTCCTGTTCCATTCAAGGCTGTGACAGGAACTACTGCAGTTACTGTAATTCTGTTTATATCATGTTGGCATGTTTATTATTATGCGTCCAAGTTAACTCAAATACATGAGAATTGCATTATGAATTATCAATTAATTTAGCAATAAAAGTATTTTTAAATCATTTAAATTGCCCTCTCTTGGTATTTTGATAATTATAATGTATCAAATGACATTGTGAGAGGGGTTGCTCATAGTGATGAACTTACAGAGAGTTACAACACAAATCTGCAGCTCTTGTCGGCTGTATGGAGTTGTATTGCTAGATACGGCCCACTGTTAAGCTTTCCGGATGCAGCTGCACTGTTCTGGTTCACTCTCACTTCTCTCACAGTGTTATTTTTGCTCTTAAAACCAACTGCACTCCCTGCTCAGCACCAAACAGCAGACAGACACAGTTAGCTGCTAGCCGGTGAACACAGAGCAGCATTTAGCAGCTAAAGAGCCAGGAATTTCCCTCAGGAGTTGGTAGAGACCAAATATACAGCTAGAAGAGAGTTAATACTGGACAAAAACACAACTCCAAGTGAGTGATAATGTTGCTTTTTAACAGCTAGATATGTACATCAGAAACTATTTGCTAACAAGTTCACAGTATCAACTTAAAAGCTGACAGGTTATGTCAGTGTTGTGTTGACATTGTTCCCCCCTAAGTGGCCATAAAAGTCAGTTATTGCAGGATTAAGGACTTTAGTCTGGATGTTTTGGTATCCTGTGTGTGGTAACTCACTGCATGGAAACTGTGGAAGGCACAGCAGAAGGCAGCTTCACTCCCCCTCCGCTCTCCACAAGCTCAATGGCCTGTTTCATCTCCATCTTGTGGTAGAAGGCGATGAGCTGTGGCTCCTTGGAGCGCTCGCCTGCAATCAGGCACTTCTTCACATACTTCTTGTTGAAGCGGTTCAGTCTGGGGGAAGGAAATGAGTTACAAATGAATACAGAGAACAAGGGAAAAGGACAGGTATGTGAGCGAGAACAGGTCAGAGACAGATGTGAGAGGTTTGACACATGGTGCATAGTAGAGGGAGAAAAGACATTACATGTGGGAATCGATCACTGACAGCAGTAGTTCCACATTTAGAGTGGAAATCAATGTAGAGCTAATGTGTATTCTCTCAAAGGATAAACCAATTAAATTATAACAGAAAACAATCCATGACCATTTTGACAAATAATAAAGGGAAACTTTCACTCACTGTTTTACTCAGTCAACAATTTAATGATTTATGTGTAAAAATATTACTTTGCATTTTCTGTGATGATGACAACAAAAGTTTAATGTCAGGTAAATATAAAATCCATACTTGTCCTTCCAGTGGTGGTGTCCGTAGTGTCCACAAATGTCCTCAATTCCAGTGAGTAGGTGGTCCAGGAACTGGGGATAAAAAGAGGCAGAAAATTGTCTTTTAAAAAGGAGACGAACAAAAACAAACCAATGCCATTTAGAGCTCTTTAATTATTGAAAGACTGATTTCCTCCTTGTTTTCCTTTTCTTAAATGTCCGTATGTAGAGTAGACCACTTAAAGGCAAACTGTGAAATGTGTTTTTGGTGTATAAACTGTCATTTATGACAAACAAAGTTAATTAACTGTATTTAGGTACACACTAGCACAAAAGACGTTACTCAGCTGCATCTTGTCCGTTTCGCTTCACCAGTTACCAATCCTCACAATAAAAACACCCTGCAAGGTAAGACTGCCAACATCATTATCAACAACAGCAGGAGATAAGCTTTAAAATGGAAGTCGGGGGAGAAAACCAGCAACCAGGTGACTAAACGGACAGCGTTCATTAGCTGTGGCAGCACGCCTGCTCAGAGAACCACAGAAATGTACAGATGCATTTGTTGTTCAGACTGCAGCCGGCCACAGGTCGCCCTGCTGCTCTGACTAAGCCTGCAGATGACAGGCTGACAGGCAGCGTTGCTATGGGAACACGTCATTAAGCAGAGCCACAGAATTTACTTCTGCTTTGTCACAAGAGACTGATTTATGTAAAGGCTGCCCAGCACTGCTGGGGCGGGGGTGAAAAAGTCATTTTAAAAAGTGGCAACTGTATGAAAAGTTTTTATAGGCTGTCAGGTCTAAAAGATTAATGGTGAGACAATACAGCAGTATATTATGAAGCATTCTCCTCTGGTTATGTTGAGAGTGGGTCATAAAAGTATTCTTCTTTTCCTACCAACACTTTAACTCCTCTCACCAGTTTACTCTGTTAGCTTAATATGTTTTGTCATTTGGACATGGTAATGGTACAGGTATACATGCAGCTGTGTGTGTCACACTTTTTAGCCATTACTAACTTCTACTATCCCACAAACTACTGGACCCATCAGCCTAATATTTTATGTGCACATGCTGACTGTATGCTTAGAAGCACTAGTGATTGAGGAGATTCACAATGGTTGAAAACCTGTTTCATTGACAGTTTTATACCATCACTGACTGCTGACCCCTCACCCCTCTGAAAGCAAATTCACATAGGAACAGGCATTACCAGCAATCAACCGGGCTAAAAAACAAGCTTTACACTGTCTGTTGCAGACCACTTTTTTGCCTTTGTTGTTGCTCAAAAATCGACATCCACAAAAAATAAAAAAAATGGTCTCATTTTAAACTGGAGCATCTGCAGATGAATTCCATACCTGCTATGTTATGATACACTAAAGTTAAGCACAATACAAGATAATCAAATCCCTGTTTATGTTATCTTCCCCGCCATTTTGACTGTAAGGGTGCCGTGAGGGACAACTGAGTGAGCTTCAACTTCTTTCTTTAGGAAGAGGTTAATTGGACATTGTTTGCGAGGTTTGTTTCCATATAGCCTGTCTAACTCTGGTCACACCTTGATAATGTAACCTACATATTGTCTCACCCTCATTCCACTGCTGTTATGCACACACGCTGGACAAACAGCCAGCTCTGCATTCCCTGTTCCCCACTGACATGACCCCAGACACACCTGACAGAGATCTACACTCAACTTAGTGCACTTTTTTAGTTTAAAATTAAATTTAAAAATTTTTAAAATTAGTTTAAAAATTAAATATTCTACTCAGGTGCACAAATATTATGATCCATACATGATTGTTACACAAGGTTACCAGTGTCATTGTGAGCAACATTTTGTAGTCGCTAGGCATTCTGGGTTGTGATTTAATCCCCACCACAGTTATAAATACACCAAGTTAAATCACTAAAAGTGATCCACAGCATCTCCGTAACAGATGGACAGGTATGTCACCTGGCCACTTGCCAGAATAAACACATAAATACATTCACAGCCTCCATACCGGAGGACAAGGTAGCACTCTTTTAGATTTAACACTACATCCTGGCCCAGTGTGACTGTTTTGCCAGTCAGCTCTGTTAACACTAATCACTGGTGTTATACAGTGGAGGAGACATTAGCACAGACTGTTCTTTTAGCCTCGAGCACTGGCAACTTAGTGGAAAGCCCCAGAGGAGGCTGTGTGTGTGTGTCTGAGCTGTATTAATAGCTGTAAAACACTCAGGGATTGTGGAGCATGGTGGTCAGTCACAGATGTTTGAGTACCAAAAACTGTGTGTTCAAGCTATATTTAACTAGATGGTAAAATTGTTGCAGTTATGAAAGGGGGAAACAAAGCTGTCATGTTCTCATTCACTACGCTGTGCAAGTATACTGCTATAACATGAAGTACCACCATACAGCCAGCAGGTGGAAGCAGCCGTCTACATTTGAAAACGAACTTAATGGCCTCTGATTCTTGCTACTGAAGAAGGTCGTGACATTTTACATAACTACAACTAAAAGGAAGGTGTAACACCATCAGAAAATCCATCCCCTATCAACATTCAAATATTTGCTGTGTATTTTTCGATTTCAAAATGTTATATAATGGTAGTATTATTATTCGTTATGTTTGTACTTCTGCAAAATAGAAGGCATGGCAGGAAGTGACTACATTGATGTGGCTTAACAATGAGGCTCTGTGAAAGAGGAAGCTGATGAAATTATAAGTATTTTCTATGTGTATCACATTAATTTATACAGAAGATGTCATGTGGTTCAAAACATTTCATTTCATTTCGAAGGCTCTGAATTATTAATATGTATAAACCATCAAGACATCATTCTGATCATGAAGGCTGAAGGGAGAGGTCTTACCTGGGTGTGGATTTCCTCATTAATCGACCGCTTGGCCTCCTGTTTCTTCTTCACTGCCAGCAGCTCCACCAGGGGTTTGATGGTCATGCCCTGCAAAAGGGATGAGAGGAACAAAACATAATCCATTATTCACCTCCTGACCTTAGCTAAAGGCGGAAGTAGGCTCTTATCACCAACTCTGTGTAAGAGTGAAATGAGACAGTTGCATGTGGATTTTCAAGTGCTTTAAAGCCTGTATCCTAAATGTTTTATAATCTTTGTGTGTGGCTTACAGATAACTTCAAACTGAGCGACAACGCTTGAGTTTTAATTCACTGAAGTCAAGCAGAAGCTAAGTAGTATCACACTTCACTAGCTGGCACATTTCCCAAGTTCTGCAACGGCTTATTAACAAACCCAGCAGGTCTTCACACAGCTTTTCACAACAAACCGTTTGTTGTTACTGTAAATCTCTCAACACTTAAGAGGGTGACAACATGTGGAAAGTTACAGATTTCAGCATTAAAGATCTTTAATAAACCTGCAAATCCACATCCAAGCGAAATCCTTCTTATTATCAACAACTCAAAACATTACGTTGTGCCTCCACTGTTCCCTGGACAGACTTCTTTTAAGTATACAAGCAGGTGAGATGTAAGACACAAAGAGATGTTTCTTGCAAGCGTCAGAGAAATCCAGAACTGAACCTACAATGCTCTGTGGAGATTTATCTATTTTCAGTTACAGTAAAACCAAGTGTTATCTTCAAAGCAGCAACTCGTTCGCATGGGGGTTTGACGATTCTATTCTCAAGAGAAATGTGGCTGCAAACACAACTGGTAAGTGAATGCATCACCAGTTTGAATTGTGTGTACTCATTGTGTTTGTTCCTGTGTATACAGTTGTAAAGCAGGAATTGAAGTGCTTCTAAACACTCATCCCACGTTAATAAGCAAACAACTCAGATGTTAAAGCTGAAACAGTCTTTTCCTCTTTTTCTGGCACCAGAAATTTTTCTTTTATTCTCAACAGTTGAAAGTATGTTTCAAACCTAACCCCACTGCTGTTTTACTAGAAGAACACTGTACTCATGTGTAATGACAAGGTGTATTTCTGGTCAGCTATGCACTGCCACAACAGAGTGTTGCCAGGAATGTAAAATCAAACTGTGATGTTTGGGTACTATTTAATTATAACCAGTCCTGTGTGTGTGCGTGTGTGTATCAGCCTCTCTGTACCTGAAACCCTGAGCATATCATTCTGCTCCTTAAAGAGATTAAGCCAGCCATCTGGTTAACTTAGCAGACCCAAGTGGATGACAGAAGATTCCTGCTCTTTCATAATATCCAGTCCTGCTTCCCCGCATGTATGCCAAGGAATCTACACTCATATCACCTCGTGCTTATTTCTATTCAAACGCGCAGATCACACATAAAGATAGTCACTGACAACATTAATTCATGCCTTCACCCTAAACAAGAGGGGAGTTAATATTTCATTATTATTTATCCAGAATGTTTGAGTCCCATTTGAGACCACTCAGTGTAATATGTACAAAATTCTATGGTTCACCCATAGAATCATTCATTAAGTGCTGCAGGAACAAGTCCTAAATACCAGAAGTGAGATAGCAGTTTTGCCCTTCCAGTTAACTTATCTCAAAGTCAACAGATTTTTTAAATGGGCTTTTGGCTGGATGCCTGCAATAACAAGTGGGGTTAACACAAGCTTGAGGGACTTTAAGGTTCCATGACATAAAATACGTCAGTAAATACCTCAGCTCTTAAATTCTGAAGCCTTTACTTGTTTTAAAAAAGGTGGTTGCTAACAAATGGCTAAATGGCTTCTGGTGATTCCACTTATGTTTTAAAAATAATAAAAAAGTATTTATTTGTGATTACTATCTTGCTGAACAAACATGTATATATCATAAACAAAATCCAATGGAAAATTTCCCATCTGTTTTTTGCCGAGGAAACCAGGGCAAACTTAACTGCCAGGTCGGCCTATTAAAACAAAGGTAATTCCCAGGGCTGCCCTGTAATAGTCAACCAAACGTTAGTCGACCAGAAAGGTCATTACTCTGCAAGATTTCATTGGTCACTTAGTAGCAGGGGGAAAAAAACAAAAAAAACAACAACGTGAAACTCTATTTGGAGCTGCACTGTGTCAAAAAAACAACAAAACCTATATGACTGGACCATGTGGGAATTTAATTTGAAAGGACAGACACAGGAAGAGGCCACGCTCAGCAGTCAAACAGGAGTCACAAACCAATCACAGCCGACAGACATATTTCCCTTCCTCAGTAAATATTCAGTCTGATAAATATGGAAAAGTTGATCATGTTAGTGCAGGGCTACCCAGAGCTTTACATCTGTCCCATGGACGATAGGCCTACACACTTATAAACAGCGCCTGGGAGAAGATCAGCTCTGCACTCTTGATTTCAGGTAAACAGGTACCGTGCTTGATAAGGTTGCTTAGCAATCTCAGACGCAATCTGCCGCCGTACAAAAATGTCACAAAAGTAGCGGCCAGTGCCTGACCTCATGTTTTCCAGGCGGTTAAAGACACAGCAATTTTACACTCCCTGATTTCCAGGGCTGGTACCTGCGGTTATTCCACAGGCTAGTTAATAACATGTCGGGCAGGAAATTCAAAGTGTGGGATCATTTTGGGAAGGTGAAGGATGAACCCAAGGTGATATGTAAACTCATCTTCACTGGTCAACTACAAACATGACGTATTATCTGAAACATGGAAGTAGCTACATGCCCATTAGCCACTTAGCACAATCATTACTGCTTTGCCGACAGCGTCATTAACAGGCGGCTCGCTCAGTGTGTGACGTGCACTTGTAGATAAAATATAGGCCTATATTAATGAAGGTTCATTAGTACGGTTTTGTATTTCTCTGTAATGTAGCACAGTGTTAACAATGTTACTGATACTATTCTTTATCACAACTTCAACTCAAACCATTGTGTTGTCCCCCCAAAATATAATTTTAAAACTTAAATAATACCATAAACACGTGGGCAACTTTTCGACTAATGGCCCTAAATGATGACTATTGGTCGACTAGGAAAGTTATTAGTCAAGGGCAGCCCTGGTAATTCCTGCAGCAGTCATATTCTGTACCTCTGTTTTATTGTGGGGGAAATGTTGTCTCTTAGAAAAGACCAGAGACCTGTTTTCAGTTGGATGAACAATGAATCCTCATCTCTCTATGCTTGTGAAGATGTTTGGTCCTCATAAATAGAGAAATATGAAATTATTTTCTCCTCTACGGCTGGATAATGAATGAAGCATTTTTAAATAAATGGTCTGAATACTTACAATAGTTATATTGACAATACATCAGAAGTAAGCCAGATATTAAAACACTGTTTCTTCCATCAACTATTATCAAGAAAATCTGACAATATATCATGCTGAAGATTCTTACTTCATATTTCCTGGACTAGCTCTCTATAAAAATACACACTCAATCTCACTCTTACTCACAGAGTCATGCTTTTAAATAGCTCCATATTGCAGGTGAAAGGAGCATCTACCCTCTCCCTCCTGGTTTGCATCTGTCTCAGCATCAGACTGCCAGAGCTGAATCCAGCAGCATCAATAAAACATGTTTCTGATCTCGCCTCTGAGGGGAGAGAACACGTCTTCAGGGTTTTATTTTAGCTGCTTCCATTCTGGGTCCGATTCACATCCAAGAATCATCCTACACTTTCACTGGGAGGCTAGTTTATCCGACACCGCAGGGCTGAGGCAGTTTATGGTGCTGTGTTTGTTATGTTAAGGTTCATTCTGTGAGAAGATTCAGTCGGAGTGTGTCTCTACATAAAACATATTTTGTATTCCTTCGGCATATGTTTCACATTTGATGCATGAATTATTTCACCTGCCAGTCCGTCTGTCTGGCAGCGTACTTCAAAGTAGATGTTGAAATTACATTTTCTTGACCGAGCTAGAGTGGTTTACTTCAAGACCAAGACAGTCTGACCACTTGATGTGACATCAAATAGGCAAACCAGTGTTCCTTCATGTCCAATTCCCAACAAACATTTAACTGAATGGTTGCAAATAAAATGTTTGTTCTGAGGCAGACTGGTGTCGTTTGTGTACCTTGTGTTTGTTTGTCTGTGTGAACTCAAACGGCGATGATTGTGAAAACTCAATTTAGACTTAACAGGCAAATATGCATCACAAAAAAGGAGATTTTTAAAAACCAATATAGTCGGTGATGAAAGACGCAATGAAATGGGTGACATACAAAAGGCATGAATAGGGGCGTCGGTGGCTTAGAGGTAGAGCAGGCGCCCCATATACAAGGCTGTTGCCGCAGCAGCCCGGGTTCGACTCCAGCCTGTGGCCCTTTGCTGCATGTCACTCCCTCTCTCTCTCCCCCTTTCACACTCTGTCCTATCGATTAAAGGCAAAAATGGCCCAAAAAATATATTTAAAAAAACAAAAGGCATGAATAAAACCCACAGTCTCAAACATGGAACAGTGAAAGAGTCAAAACGCAGAAATCTCTTCACATGTGTGCTCTGATTGTGGTCATGAAAACATCCCATAATAAGGTTAAGACTTGAGGCAGGCTGAAAACAGTAAGCCAGGCTGAACGACACATTTTCTTCTTCAAATAGGAAATACTAGGTACTCGTACCTGAACAAAGACAGTGAAGAAGATCACAGTGATGATGGCAGTGAGGAAGATCTCTCTCATGGCAAAGTGTTCCTTGTTCAGCAGGAAGCCAAGGGAGAAAGCGATGGCACCTCGCAGGCCACCGTAGGCAACAATAAACTGGTCCTTGGTGGTCAGCTTGACGATGCGGAACTTGTTGATCACGAAGGTCAGACCAACCACACCTGGGGAGGACAATTTAATGTGAAAGCAGGTTTGGGGTTTGTGACTGTGTATGCATGTTACAGACTGAGATCTTACAGTGTCCTTTCTGACATTTTAAGATGCCAGTGCTTGCCATTATGATAAGACCATAACAAAAAAGTATACCTAAGTCAAAATAACACAATTTTTGTGTGCTGTTCACACAGTCGTTGCTTTGATTCATTTTCACATAACTAATAAAACCAACTTGCAAAGACTTGACACTTGATGTAGCCAGTCCATCACCGTGAAAATCCTATCTGCTTTTCTCCCCCAAAAGCATGCTTGGTAACGCATTGTCCCTTTTTTCCAAACAATCTGCACTTGTGGATATGGTGTTATTATAGTGGAAAACCCATCTCCAGCAAAGTCTGCTATTTGAATTTGGAATAAATGAAAACCAACTGCAGCCTGGAAGACTAAAAACACTAAAGCATTCTTTGGAAAGTAGGTCACAGTACTGCAAAATATGTCATTTGCAGTAAACAACCAACAAAGAAGTGCCTGTTATGAGGACCAGGAGATATAAAGTTTCCAGCGTCCCTGCTGCCATATACATGTTAACAATAGATACTTAACTGTTGTCAGTATATTGCTTATTTGCACTGCAGAACCTCCAACTCAACCACTCTGTAAACTGTGGGTGCTTTCACACCTGCCCTGTTTGGTTTGGTTCAGTTGAACTCTAGTTTGTTTGCCTCCTAAGTGTGGTTCATTTGGGCAGGTGTGAACATATCAGTCACACTCAGGTGCAAGCCAAAACAACCGGACAGACGTTCTTGAGGACGTGGTCTTGGTCCAGTTACTACCGAACTTTGAGGTGAGAATGTATTCCGACCACAGAACTGCAGTACAGCCCTGTAAGGGACACTAAAGACACTGTGGGCAACCTATAACCTGCAAAACCGTTGCAATGATCCTTTAACTGACAGGAACTGACAAAGAACTGCTGAGTTGTTTTCCATCACAAGATCTTGTCTCATGTGATGCAACTTAGATATGCATGACTATTGACTGCAACAACTCAATCACAGACAACATATTAGGGTTTGGAACGTCTATTCAAAGCCTTAACAGCTCCTCACACTAAGAATGTCAAATAAAAAAGTCAGGATGCACGAATGAATGTACCTCATCGTTCTTTCACTTTCAATCTCTCTCTCTCCAGCAATGTAAATTACTCTAGTATGACAAATCATCAACAGAAGGACTTGTGACAGACTGATGTCAACACGAAATCCTTTGCGGCGCTTCCTCTCACACACTGACAACTTCACGATGGAACCTGATGGTGAAATTCAGTCCTGTCAGTGTTTCCAGTTCCCTTTCTGAAAAGGTCTTTCACACAAAGACAGCCTTTTTGTGTAACTTGCAACTTACTTCAAAGACTACCAGAATACACTTATCTACTTAGAAAATAAATTGTCAGCAAGTTTACTTGTGCGCTTTTTGGTTTGCAATTAAGCCCCGTTACTGAAGAATCTGTTAAATAATGCACAAAATAAATAAAACACTTAATGGAGAATTCTGTGTAAGTGTAAATGTGCCATATAGAGATTTATCAGAACCACATTATCAAAAACATCTTGCGTGACTCAACCCCAAAAACGGACAACATAACAAAGCAGCAACACTTTCTCTGTTCTAGGTCAACCGTTTCCCCTTCATACGGTATTGCTACACATTCCAGCATGGCACTATTGCGTGCATTTAAAGAAGCTGTGAGAATCACTGCAGCAGAGCTGACCTATGACCCGTGCCACCAGACACAGAATGACAGTGACGGTGACGAAGGTCCAGTTCCAGGCGTGAGGTCCGTCCACCGTGGCCACGCCCAGAAAGATGAAGATCAGTGTCTCGCTGACGCTGCTCCACATTTTCAGAAAGTACTTGATGGTGGTGTGGGACTTGTGGGATATGTTGGCCTCTACATAGGGTCGCATCACCGCTCCGCATGCTATTAACCTGGAAGGAGCAGAGACAAAAGTGTGCTCAGAGGAGATATGTATATATTTTTGGATGTAATCAAAATGAAACACTGTTTAACATATCATTAAAATGAAGCTAAGTAATCTACAAATGTTAAGAGCAATGCCACCTTAGAAGAAGTGGTAGCTTTACTTGCATTATCAGCAACCGTGATGACAGAGTTTTCCACTGAAGGAGAGTTGTATACCCGGCCTGAGTTCCACACTGACTTTGGAAACATGTGACGCCAAGATGTCTACCTCCCCGTCTGGTGACCACTTCTCTATTCCATTCTGGTGTCATGCAATGTTTCTATGTTAAAAATGTAGAGGCCAGAAATGACCATAACTCATATCCCATTAGCCGCAGCAGCTGCTCAACATTCACCCACCTCTCCTCCTCCATGTCAATACTGGTTTGGTTTTCAGGGCTTTAGGGAAATGATGAAAGGAATTCAGACCAGTAAGCTGTTTTACTTCTTCATAAACACCTCCACAAATCTAGTTTTTGATGTGAGGTGCAAGAAGACAGCCACAGGCTTTGGAAGAAATTGTCCTTGAAGCTACGTGTTCTCCGGCCATGACTCAGAGGGGACACTCAGTATATCATCACCTCCTGTCTGCAACATCAATAACTCTGAGCACCATATACAGAAAATGTACTGAAACTACTGGAAGAGCTTATGAGAAATGGTGCCTCAGGGGATGTTGAGAAGCCAATAAATTAAGGCTGGGTTTAGGTGACGTTGGATCAGTTTAATTCATTACATCACTGGTTATAGCGAACGTAAAAAGCTTCGATTTACAGCTGAGTTACTGTCGCAGGGGAAAGACTGAAATAGATTTTCCCTGCAGTTTCAAGGTTCTATGTAGAGTATGACATCTCATCACTGAGGAAGGATCCACATATTAAAAACATGTGATACAAGAGGGACGTCCCTGAAACAGCTGGAGTATTTCACAGATACCAGAGAGCACACGGGACACACTTGATCCTAAATTTGTAAATGCAGATCCTATGGAGTAGTAAAAGTCTATATGCCTATAAATGTATGCCTATAAAAGAAACCAATTAGGGTTTATCCTCAAAATTCAGGTTGTTTTTGGTGAAATTTAGTAAAAGCAGAAAATGATTAACCATACATTCACACCCCAAAAGGAAAATAATACTATGAACTAAATAAAGCCGTGGCAAAGTGACATTTCACTTGTACAGAAATAACACATTTAAGTCTATTTATATAACCATCACCCAAACTTACGCCATGATGCCAGAGAGGTGGAACATCTCAGCTGACAGGTAGGCCATGTAGCTGTACACAAAGACAAAAAGTGGCTCTATGACACGTGTGTGGGAGGTGAAGCGTGACGTGAAGGCGGCCAGGATCCCATAGATGGCTCCCACTAGGACGCCACCCAACGCAACCACCAGGAAGGAGATGACTCCCAGGAAACAGTCCATCACTGTCACCGTGCCAGCACCTGCAAACTCCTCAAACAGGTGGTATAACACCTAGGAGAGGAGGAGTAAATGGTTATGAATAGGTAACAATAGAAACAAAGCAACAGGGTGTTGTTAGGATGACTAGTCTGTTTCATAAACCTTCACTTTGAGGATGTATTGATTCTGTGACTGTGAACAAAAGAGGAGTATAGAATAAAGATGTCACAATGAATGTGCTTTTAAAATAGATTTGGCTACACGCAGAAAAAAGACAGGATAAATGTCAGAGCAGACCACAAATCCACAACTAAAGGTAAATCATGACAGACTGGTGATTTGAAAAACTGTTAAGCCAGCAGACATGTTGTCAGGTTCTGTCTTAGTTCTTACCTTACATGCTTCTGGATATGTAAAGACTGAGTACATCCTTTAACTGTTCTGCAAGGAGCAGTTAAAGGATGTACAATTGTGCCAAATGGATAAAAAGATACTTCTGCACTGTACCAAGCCTTTGCTAAGTATCTCACTATGGGGATCTACACACTCCGAGAATGCCAGAGAGGCTAATCATGCAGATCAACTGCCAACCGCTCCGAGGCTGATGTGCTCTGCTTTGACTCTCACAAGACCATGTACTCAAAACTGCCTGTGCCAATGATGGCATGGTGCCGTCCGGCTTGTTCAACTGTGCGCTGGAGCCAAACTTGTAGCTGAACATATGACCTGGAGACAGTGGGCAGATGTCCTGGTGATGGAGCAGATTTATGGAAACATTTAGCACAGTTTTTACTTCAAGTGTTGTGACAGATGATGTCAAAAAAACTGGCTGGTGAAACTGAAGTTGATGCATGAGATAGCTATGGTGCTAGCATTGTCAGTAACTTGATACTGTAGGTGGTGCTGTTTGTGTACAGGCCAACTGCTGTGCTGTGAGCTGAGGATTATTATGTGCTGAACGACTTGCAAGTGGATCACTTGCTGTGTGTCGATAGCTTAAGTCCAACTATAAGGTTTAAAAAAATATTCACTTAATACACAACCTGATCTGACGATAACACCCAGTGACTGAGTTTTTAGCTGCTTCACAAACTGCTGAGCTTAACACCAAATTTCTAATTTGTGTCAATGGGAAGCCTTCTGGGTGGCAAGTTTTACAAATGACTTGATGATGGTCTACATAAGGAGACTACGCTGTTTCTTTCTGGACATCAGAGTTTCACCTGCCACCCAATTACAGCTCTGATAATGATATATACATTTGTGAAGGCTACAATCAAAGGTTTATACCTAAGCATACCATATGCATTCTTGACTGAGAACTAGGGATGCCACTCAAGTTTTATGCCTCCAATTTCGATTATTATTATTTAATATTGAGTATCACCCAATACAGAGTCCTGATCCAATACTTCTTTCTCCCTAGACAGTAGAGCTGCGCAGTGCAAACTTCAAGTACATTAAAGTTATTAAAAATCAATCCAGTGAATATGCTTGGCAACTGAAAAGCTCTGCCATGCATTAATAAAAAGAGGCTGCATCCAAGCTGTTCCTTAATCTTATTATTAAAAAAAAAATATATACTAAATTAAAAAATCCTTTCTGTAATCATTTTGGCTTTGTTGCTGTCTGAAGGGGAATTTATCTCTCCCTTTAATTCCCCAGTGAGAGAGTATTCTCCAGTGTTTGTTGCTTCCATGCAGTCTTTGCCTGTGTTACCTGAATGAACTGTATTCCACTGAGTGTTTATTTTTGATGTCTGTACTTTTTTTTTTTTTACACAAATTACATCAATTAATTGCTCTTATTGGTTTTTTGCTCATGGGGCTTTTGTTACACTTGCAGTAGCACGATGAGCGCCTGTGGTGAAACACTGTGTACCATAGATAAAAAACAAGCAAAACGCAAAATACTCTCTCAAAACATGTGCACATGACTTAGGTAAATAACTTAAATAAACAGTCTCAGAACGGGGAATATTTGCCTCCCTTTCATGTCTATTCAGCATGAGCAAAGTATAAAACATTTGCTTGCAGTGGAAAGTCAAATTTGCATCTTCATATTGTGTGGTTTTCAACTTTGGTGAACACCGACTGGCGAAGTCACAGCCTTAACCAATGGTGAAGCAGTACCTGTCCAAGACAAACTGATTTTTGTTGTGTCTAACCAGCCAATACCATATGATACTGACCATGAAAATCACAAACTGCCCTAAATAAGAGATGCGGCCTGACTGGCAGTAAGTTGGGAGACAGGGATGGAAAATAAGAACACTGTAACATCATATTTTGCTGTATTAGCTAGCAAGCTAGCTTTCCATCATATCAGGCACTACCCACATTCAGCACGAATATCGCCACAACAAGCAATAGTCACTCACTTGCCTGCATGCGCTCATGTGTGACCATGCCCTCATACTGTATTTTGCTGTTGTTTATGGTGTGTGAGTGGAGAGACAGATGGACAATCGAGATCTTTTAGATCAGATTGGGATATCCCTACTAAGACGTGCTTCTAATCTACCAGTCTACCACATATTTCCTGTCCTGGTAACTCACCACAGTGACAGCATCATTGAGCAGTGATTCACCAAACACCAGGATGTGCAACAGTTCATTGATGTGTATCTCCTCGAACACAGCTAGCACAGCGACAGGATCCACAGCTGAGATGATAGAGCCAAACAGCAGACAGGGCAGCAGGTCTATCTGGTGGAGATTGGATGGATTGGCCGGCTGGATCTGACACACAGCATACAGCAGACCACCGATGAAGAAGGCGTTCCACAAGGTCCCCACAACAGCAAACATCAGGATGGTACCGAGGTTCTCCATGAAGGGACGGATGGGCAGGAAGTAGCCGGCATCCAGGATGATTGGTGGCAGCAGGCAGAGGAAGAACAATCTGGAGTCCAGCACGGGGGGTACCTGTTCTCCAGCTAGTTTGATGAGCCCGCCGACCAGCAGACCCACCGTAATCAATAGGCAGCTCTCTGGCACGATACCAGACAGACGTGGAATCAGGTGGAACCCTGGGATAATGGAATGAAAAAAAGATAAGATGCAATGTCATGGAGAGAGAGAACAAGAATGAGGGAGAACAAGAATGAGGGAGCGATTTATCTGGAAATCAATTAAGGGACTCATTGCTTTAGGTCTCAACGGTATCTGTGAGCCTCTGTGTGTTTGTTTGTGTTTGTGTGTGTCTCTGAGTGATGAGTGAGTTAGGAGTATCTGGAATTGTTCCCATTGGTTTTCATTTTACAAAAAGCAACACTGCAAAGGCAAACTGAATACTGTCAACTCTATAAGAACAATCAGCTGTGACATACCACACTTCAGTGTTTACAGGCACCACCCTGGTGCCAAATTTAACTTTTGCAGAGTTCTTAAGAAATTTCAGCATAAACCAGTATTTTGTGTTTGTAGGAAACGCAGAGGGAAAAACTTCTGATTTTGCAAAGGCTATGCAGACATGTCAGAGCTCGCCTGCCCTTAAGTGCTCACTAGAACTATGACCTGTCTGTAACACAAACCAGCCACAGATATTCTCAGCCTGTGTTTAACACCTGAATAAAATGGTATCTCTGGCCTTTGAGCTGAAGGCTGGGTAAACAACATAAAGAGTGTATTGTATCGTGTGAAGGTACTGGTATGACATATAACCAACACAATGGCCTTGTGAATTCTTAAAGGAAAACATGGAAATAATATGCAAAACATTTACTGTAGACAGATCTCACGACATGTTCAGCAAGTCAAGGCTGCCGTGATACCACATTTAGGAGGTGAGTTTTATAAAAAGAAAATGCTCCCAGTCAAACAAAAATACAGTCCTTCAGCTTCCATTTGTCTTCTCTTTTACATACTAATCCAATTCTGGAGGAGTTCCACATAATTGGAATAACCTTATGCAATTATCTACTATTACTCAAGGCTGCATTGCTCACACGTCACAGCACAAGCGGCTCTGCAGGGATCTCCGAGAGATTGTTAATGTTAATGCCTTTACAAGCAGTGAGACTTACCGCCTAACTACAGACAAAAGCTGCTTGACTTTAAAAGGCTGCCTTTTTGACTTGAAAAAGGCTGGCACGACATGGGTAACTTAGTTAATATGGGTCTAAAAATACCATCACTCCTGAGCTGATGAGAAGTTTGACATAAATCTCTAAACACAGACAAGGCTACATATACACACACAGTGAGGTGACGGAAAAACTGCAGCCTGCATAACTACTTAGCAAAAGAAGGTGAAGATTTCACAGAGACCGCAGCATGCATCCCATAGTGAGAAGTCTTTCCTCTGCTATATTTACAGTACACTACAGCAGCACACGGACATGTCATCTTCCAGCTGGCACGGTACCCGCTGACGAAATGCTGCATTAACATTCACACACAAACACACAAAGAAATATGAACCACATAAGGCTACATGCTCACACACAGGCTAAACAATCTTCTAGGGGTAGATAAAGAATGGCATATCAGACATTATCATGATGAAACTTAATCTGCCAGCACTGCAAATAATATTGCCACTACAATAAACTTTGAATTTGACTTTTAATTTTTAATGTGTGAGTTACGTGCAACACAATCTCTGGCGGTACACGCTCACATGTTAGAAATGGCACCTGCTTTCAATGCCTCAAAAGGATTCAATGCCCTTGTGAATGGTACAATGAGAGCTGTATTTTGCAGTCAGTGTGCGAGTGTTTTTTATGAGAGGCAGATGCAGAGGGCCTGACATGCTAATTGAGACATGTCAACAAGTTGTTCCTCATATCCACCCTGAGCTGCAGCTATTCTTTTGAAATATGTGGTCCACCCACCCCTATAATCTCACTTTTAAATGGATGAATAGAATTTTAGCCCATGTTGCTTTGTGAAGCTTGGATCAAAGCACCCACAGCAGCACACACGTTAAATTATCAAAAAGCAGCACGGCTACAAAGTCAGCTCTTCAAGACAAGAGTGGACGGTGCAGTGACAGCAGCACCATCTGCCACAGTAGCCACAGGGTGTGTTCCCTCCTGAGCCAATAGGGGTGGGGCAGGCAGGTGAACAGCTCGGGCCTGCTCCAGTTTGCTTACGTCTGCAGACTGAGGATAGTAGAGCAGCTAATTAATATTCACTTATGAGCACATTGCACAGTTCGTTATGCGATGGCCAGGTCTTGCACACATGCTGCCAGAAAACAAGAATTACCGCTGAAAGTCACGACATAAAAGATGGAATGTTGCAGAGCTTTGTCCAAAGAGTATGTCAAAGTATCAGAAGTTCTCTGAGGGAATTCAAGACATCTGAGGTAGGGGGAGGGGTGTTCATACTTCGGCAGCTTGAGGACAACACAGATTTCACAGTTTCAGCACAGAGGCTCAACAAGTGCATGTCTGTGGATTATGCAGCTGCATTCAGTTGTAGCTCTGAAGCTTTGAGGAAAGATAGCGAGGGAGTCTTTATCTTAAATGGTCTGATCTAAGGAGACCTAATTTTCCCACTGCGAGACGTCAGAGACTGAGTGCTCTTCTTTTTCCAATGCACTTTATTGGAAAACAGGCACCACCCACAGCTCCATAGAGGCTTAGCAGCCAGGTGGGCTGACAAAAGATATTCTGTAATAACTGCTTGAAACACAGTAAATAGAAACCTTCTGTGCCCCCCCCCCCCCCCCCGATGGCTTACATGGCAAGCAGGATGTAAATTCCACAGCTTGTTCTGAGACTATCAACTGCACATAGTCTCTTCAGAGGAGACTCTAGGCTTCAAAATGAGAGCTAAATTAGCACCATGAATTACCACATTAATGTGCACAACATCTCAACCCCCTATAGACACCGCTACATAATTAAGAGGCTGTGTCTAAGCGTTTGAGACTTCAACACTGCACAGATCTCTGCTAAGAATGGATGACACCAGATAACGCAAGTGGGCCGGCACACCTCCAGTTGGCTAATTGGTTCCCAGCTGAACAGAATAGATTACAGTGACAGGCCTTCCATGGGATTTATACTCATAATAGCATTTTATGTGGTTCTGCCAGTAACTGAGAGCTAATATCTGTTTGTTATCACCTTGCTTTATTACAATTGACTGTCAACACCTGCAAAGAATTCAATTAGTCCCCTTTGAACAATTTGGCTTTAGCAGAACATCATGTATGTACATGAGGTCTGCTAAATACCACATGCATGCAGCATTCGCCTTAATGGAAGACAAGCATGTCCGGCCGGTGGCAAACTGACAGAGGGCAGCAGACTTCAACGCACACAACAAGGTGTTATGGGATCCAAGGAAACACGATCTGCTAACAAAGAGTGTTTACCTTTTCAAGTCAGACCATCGGGAGCCTTGTGCTCTACATTTCTGAGCAAACATATTGCACATGTATGCTATGCACTGGAAGAGTAAACAGTCTCTGTCAACAACTGACAACAAGTGAAGTCCACATCTTAAAGAAACTGAAATAGTCCAAGAAGAGAGCAAGCAGCTTCCAACTACAATCTATAAGGGGTGTAATTTAATCCTAATAATCTAGTTATAGCATGCCTACAGCATGTGTAGGGGAAATTACAGAATGGAATGCTCTTTATGACGTAACTCAGAAAACTTGCCGAGAAACACATGCTTGTTTTCAGCAGTGTCCACAGGGAGTACTTCCAGTGGCTTCACAAATCCATAAACCCAAACATTTACACCTGGGAGTGGCCTAGTTAGACAAACTTCATCTGTTGGCCCATGAGCAGCCAGAGAGAGAACTCCTGGTCGTGCAGAGTGTTTTTACACTTTAAGACTTGCCCATACTTCAAAGTTCTACTTAAAAGACTCAAGTAAAACTGAATTCAAACGGTGGCATGTTAACCAAGAGGGAGTATTATTAGAAGACGAGGAGTCCTATGATCCCTTGTGTTAAGTGTTCTTCCGAGTGACATTAAGTAATGAGCATGAGCCAGGGTGCTTTTGGCTCCCAGCTTTCACTCCTTGAATCACGATCCATAAATAAAGGCCACAGTGAACTGGCATTGGAAGCTTAATCAGGCAATTAAAAAATGACAGGCATATGATGGCTGTGACAGGTTCTTTTTTTTTGAATATCTGAGTATCAACACATCATATCAGGTTCTGTTGGGGTTTTCCTGCCAATATTATCACTCACCATCTTTTCAAATCATAGCAAAGTCTGGCAATTCTCATTACTTCAATATAAAATCTAGGGCTGGGCGGTATACCAGTTCATACTGAAAACCGGTATTTATTTTCATTATGATATGAATTTTTCATATACCGCAATACCGGTGAATAGCCCAAACAACATCCGGAACGTGCGCGGCGGGAAAGTGCTTCAGCGGGAACCCATTTCACCGCTGCACACCACAGGCACACTTGAGTGGGTGAGAGTGAGAGCACAGAGAAAAGTTTAGAGGCGAGAATGGCTGCCGGAGAGTCCTGAAAGTGACGACCCAGAAAAACTCATACCAAAAAGAGCAATGTTCCCCCTATATGCAGCTAGCAGCGGCACACCACTGTTTACAATTCTCCTCTTCTCTCTGTTTCGCCCTGACACCTAACCCTAGCCCTAACCCACACACCCACACCCACACACAGGTGAGCACACCAGAGAACAGCTCAGGCCACATTTTCCTGACCGAAGCTGACCCGCCCCAAGTCTGAGCATGGCACTTATGGAGCAGAGCCTGTGTTGCGTTCAGGCGTTGTCATGTAAATAACAAATTCCGGCACTTGAATAGGCCATAGCACAACACAGCAGCATGTCAGGTGGGCCGAACACGAGCAAAATACCGTCAAATACCGTGAAACCAATATGATTTTTTTAAAAAAAATGTGATATGAAAATTTTGTCATACCGCCCAGCCCTATTAAGATCTTAAATCTTTACAGCACCAGAGCTTACATTCTTGAGTCTGTAAACTTTGCAAAAATAGTATTTTGCACTCAGGCTCGCCCCAGCAGAAGCTGTGGAACAATACTCAGCAGCTCACAGGAATTTCTTTTCACACCTCTAGGA